TTCAATCCCTCTTCACTTCATTACAGTGAGCCATTCCCGAATCGTACAGAAAAAAGCCACAGATTACGAGGCTGTTACACAGTACTGGCCATTATGTACTTTTCCTTCAAAAGGGTCACCTGTGGTCCTGCTTGAGTTCAGTCATGTTTTTGATCACCCTCCATAAACTGTATCCATGTGGATGCAGATAGTATCACAGCGTCATTTAGGAACCTCTCAGCTGGTAGTAGCGCGACAGATAAGAGTGTCTGCTACTGCCAGACGTTACGCAATGCATGTTTTAAATGCGATTGTTCACCAGAAGTTGACACAGAATCGTTGTTTAAAAGATTTTTGTTCAATTTCACAGTGTTTTGTTCTTGTTTATGTTCATTCTCTGAGTAGAGTGTGTTTGTTTGTGTGGGGTGGTCAGAGAATGAGAAGTCCTAAATGACTGAGTTTCCTGAACTTCGGGACAATCTCTTCAAAGGAAATTAAAGAAAAGTACATTGTAAATAAGCATTGCAGTGTTTCTCACTGACATTGTAAGCTGACTAATGCAAAGCAAAGTTTCCTGTTACTTTGAGCTTCATAGTGTTCCTGCGGACATTTACATAAACTAACTTCACAACTAGATTTGTATCTTTCTTCCTGAAAATGTAAGTAGTGTTTGCCTGTGCAATACTCTTTGCGACAATGCTAGAGTGTTCTGATTGGTTGCTATAGTGTTGCTAGGTGGTTGTCAAGAACTTCTAGTGGTTGCAATAGTTGCTTAGGTTTCTGAGTGTTTGCTCTGGCAATGTTAGGTGGTTGCTAAGGTGTTTTCAGTGGTTGCTATGGTGTAGCTAGGTGCTTGATAAGGTGCTCTGAATGGTTGCTATGGCGTTGCTTTGTAATTGACAAGGTTTTCTGAGTGGTTGCTATGGAATTGCTGTATTTCAGTGCAATACTCTTTGCTACAATGCTAGAGTGCTCTGGGTGGATGCTATGTTGCTATGTGATTGTTTAGGTTTTCTGAATGGTTGCTGTGGCATTGCTTTGTGATTGACAAGGTTTTCTGAGTGGTTGCTATGGAAATTGTTGTATTTCAGTGCAGTACTCTTTGCTACAATGCTAGTGTTCTGAGTGGTTGCTATGGTTTTGCTAGGTGAATGTCAAGATGTTCTAAGAAGTTGCAATGTGGTTGCTCAGGTTTTTGATTGTTTGCTGTGGTGTTTCTAAGTGGTTGCTAAGGTGTTCTCTGTGGTTGCTATGGCGTAGGTAGTTGCTTGATAAGGTGTTCTGAGTGGTTGATGGTGTTGCTATGGAATTGCATCTAAAATCATATTGAGATATCTTTAAAACTGGTTGAGTTCTGCATGCAGACTTTGGAAAAAGAATATTTATGGTACCCAGACAGGTATGTTCTATGCAATTATTTTGATATAGGGAAACAAGATACATTTCTAGTTTTAACATTATTTGTTCTTCAGACATTCCTCTTTAAAAGAAAAAAGTCTCAGCTGAATGCAAAGTGACCCACATTTGGTTTTTGACCACTGAAAATTTGTACAGTTTAACAATTTACTCCTGGAGCCATATTGAGATTCCAATATTGCTGGAATGGGACCAGATGGAGCCTTAAACATGAAGATGCCAAAAAAAAAAGTTTGTTAAGATCCAAATTCTAAAAGGGCATTAAGACATCTTTAATATTTCTTGAGTTACAGGTATGCAAACTTTGAAGAAAAATTTTGAAAAGTGCTCTTTCCTTATTTTTGAATGGTCACCACTGGCATATAATGCAGCAAAGATGGCTAAAGTCAACAGATTTTACTAACAGACAATCTCTCTGTAAAAATAATATAATGATGCTGCCATTTTTCTAAAGTCGTTTTTACCCCCCTAAAACTGTTATTTTGACCCCACTCTACAAAATAGTAACTCAGTAAATATACATCTGTGGTATTTAATGGTTTGACTTTCATAACTGTACATGTTTATCTTTCTTCAGAAAAAAATTATGACAAAATCAAAAACTTGAGATCTTCTGGTTTCTTCAGTTTGACTTGGATCCCACATTCAATATAAGGGATTTTTTCACCTGGTTTGTAGTTGTTTCATAAAAGTAATATATGACTTATTATAGACAACTAATAAAAGAAAGAAAGGAAGTCAGTCAGAAATGGAAAAGAAAAATGCAGAGTTGTCACATTAATAGCATTGCTATGCTCACTTTAAACAGCATCCTCTTCTTTGAGGTCTGAAGAGGAAAGCCAAAAGCCAACTGAAAACAATACATAAACCTCAACAACACACACACACACACACACACAGTCTCTCTTTCTCTCGCTCTCTCTCGCTCTCTCTCTCTCTCTCTCTCTCTCTCTCTATATATATATATATAGTGCTGAGTGTTGTTGCATGTTGTAATCAACTATTTTTCATAATATAAAGCTGCTCTCTCTCGCTCTCTCTCTCTCTCTCTCTCTCTCTATATATATATAGTGGTTTTTGTGTATAATTCATTATGTTTTGATGTTCTAATGACAGATTGGCCCTCTTGTATGTATAAAAGCACAGTGTCCTTTGAACTCTATGTCTGGAAACAGCTGCAGTGTTACTGTAACAGGAGCACATTGTGGACTGGGATCCTGACCTCTAACCCCTGCCTTCCCAAACATAAACACACACATCACTGATGTGCTGATGTCTGCAGCCGACACTGGATAAGAGGCGATGGAAATGACGCAGACAAGCGATCTTCCATATCATTTCAGCTTTTATATGATATTTTCATGCTATATTACTGAAGTTCATATGTCATGTTGTAGCTTATTATACAGCGATAGTTCAGCCAGAAATCATAATTTCTTCACCCTCATGTCGTTCCAAACATTAGACACGTACAAAAGCAAGTCTCTTCAGATTAAACTCCTCTGTGTTTGTTATGAACACTTTCAGACACATCTCGACTACACGGTTTACTTACAGTCTGTGAGTCAGAACAGCATTGTAGTCTACTCTACCAGGATCAGGAACGGTCCTCCATGAAAATTGCTGCACACATCTGAATATTTGGGTTGAAGTGTTCTGGAACAGTGTTGTAAATACAACTTAACCACTGATTTCTAGTCGTGTCCATTTTTGGAAGGCCAAACAAAGTAGTTTCGCTTTCACAATGAAACACAGCGTCACACACGGTGGCCTAGAGTGAGCAGAGGCGGTGGATTCGACGAAGGAGCATCCGGCGGGCTAACGACAATCACATGTGACGACCCTGGGCTGGACTCCGCTTCGTCCACGGTGAAAGCCGATCCGGCAATCCACAGCGAGAAGTTCTTGTATTTCCTCAGCGACGAGCATGGATCAGCTCCAGGCATGACGAAGCAGATATCGTCCTCTTTTGGAAGGCCAAACAAAGTAGTTTCGCTTTCACAACGAATCACACAGTGCCTTCACGACATGGCGGCGGCAACAATACTACAGCAAGAATAAAAGTTACACCTTCTTTCTTTGCGTGAACATTTGGGCGGTGTTATGCAAATCTTCCCACATAGTGAGGTAGATATGTGGGGGCGTGTTAGAACGAGCCGTTTTAGGTAGGTGTGGCTGACTCTTAACTTTTATAAAGAATATCTCTTTGGATTTGAGACTTTAGACTTTGCAACTTTACAGATCTTCTTTATGCACCAAGAGCTTGTAACACTCCAAAGAGAAAGGAAAAATTTAAATCGCATCATGTGACCCCTTTAAACTAAATTAATGGTATCTTTTGTTTATGGGCAACTAGTCAAATTCAAGTGAACATGAAAGTTAAGTTTACTCTTACTCCGAATGGGATTTTCTTTACAGATGTTGTTTTAACTTAAAGCAAACCTAGCAGCTGGTTAAAAGTCAATGCAGAATGGCTTAGAGAAGTGATTCAATCACGCCTGCTACAGGAAGCAGTATTGCACTGAACTATGCCTTGATCTTTGTTATCTGATGCACAAAAAGACATCTGCCCTCATAGTACCAAAATTATTTCAATTAAAATTATTAAATTATTTGGGTCTTCTTTGGCCCAGTCACATTTTTTTTTTTTTTGGGAAAATGAAAAGATATTTTCAGTTTTAGATGGTACTAGTTTTTTTTCATCAATTCATGGAAAAATCTTCTTTAAGTAAATAATTATCTGTTTATCTGATTATCAGTACATTTTCATCATTGCACCAGTGTTATTTTTGTATCATTGAGATACTAGATTTATACTATACTATAGTGAGATACTATGCTAGTTTTTATTAACATTTTGAGTTTTTGTTTTTATATTTTTAGCTTAGTTTGTTTTAGTAGCATTGTTGTGTGTTTTTGTCATTTTTTGTTTTTTTTCATATTCATGTCAATATAGTTTTTTATTAAATGTATTTTAGTTTTAGTTATTTTACATAAGGTAAACTTAAATAGAATAAGAAATGTGTGACTGACTATTGTCCTCTTCTCTATACCATTATAAGAAATTGCATCTTTTGTTTTTCCACCCTCAACATCTGGTCATTAGCGCTTTCCGCTGTCGTAAGAGCGAATTGAATTTTAATGACCAATGAGACGCTTTAATTATGGCATGTTTACATATCTACTTCACTGACCACGCCCCTCTCTCTTTATTGTTTGTTTGTCTGAAAGATTTCCACCTTTGATATGCTTGATTATACAGGCACATTCACACACAAAATCCAGATGAACACAAGAACACACACACACACCCCAAAGTATAATTCTATTCACTTTCTATCTGAAGTCACTTGTGGCACTTACAAGCTTCCATAATCCATATCCCTGGTTTGTTTTAGTGAAATTATCATGACTTCCTTTTTCTTCTCACTTCAGTTGCTCTTATCCTAGACTCAGAGGAGCAGCGGGGGCATAAACAGGGGAATTCCGTCTTGGATGCAAACGTTCTGCTCCTGGGTTTTCCATTAAATCCTTCCAAAGAATTCCCTTGTACCTGATGCACTGTTGCTTCTCTCTGTTTTCACCTCTTTCTTTGATTAACAGTGTGGATTTCAGCTGCGTGGCTATTTTCCATTCTGTTTGTTTACATAGACCTTTTTAATGTAGTATGCAGGAAAAAGAGACAAATACATGATAAAAAATCTCTTCCGCAAACATTAGTGACCAGACTTACATCCCTTGATTGTTTCCCTTTTCACTATTTCATAGTTTGGGGGGAAAACACCTGATTACAAGGCTGGTCTATTTGTACAACTATTTGCCTTCATATTTTACAGTAAATAATAATATTATATATATATCTTTTTTTTTTTTGCATTATAATATTAAAAATATTAACATAACTGCGTCTACTTAGTGTGTCCAGGTCTCTCTTGAAAAACCTTAAGGAGTAGTCTTTAGATATATATATTTTAAATTATTTTAAAATTATTTTTAATATATTTAACTGATATAATTATACCAGTATTTATTTATTTAGGTTTAATTATAGTTATATACAATCAGTTTGTTTGTTTGTTTGTTGGTGTGTTTATTTATATAAAGGTTTAAAAATAGTTAGTTATATACAGTACAATCTGTTTGTTTGTTTGTTTATAAAGGTTTAATAATAGTTATATACTTATACAATTGTTTTAATTATTTATTATGTATATTTGTTTATATTTATTTTGAGATATTTTATATATAAAGGTTTAATAATAGTTATATACCAATGCAATCATTTATGAATGTATGTATTTATTATAAATATATAATTTTTATTTTTCATTTATAAAGGTTTCTTAGCTATATGCCAATGCAATAGTTATTTATACGTATTTTTTATATATATTTATGTATTTATATTCATATTTTAAATATCAAGGTTTAATAATAGCTATGCATGAATGCAATTGTTTTATTTATTCATTTGTATTTAGTTGTTTTTTGTATATAAAGTTTTAATAATAGTTATATTGCAACTATTGGTCATTATGAGTCAGAATGCACCTGTGAATCAGTCTTTCTGTGTGACATAATCATCTGTTCTTTTGTAGGTTTACTTCTGTGAGGACAGAAAAAAGGACATCGGATGAAGAGGAAGATTCACTTCAGCCTAATGCTTTCACCATCATTACTCACAGCCTTTCTCTCTATATCTTACTTTCCAGACTCTCTCCTTTATGTCCTCTTTAGAAAAAAGGAAAAGGGCAGAAAAAAGAAAGAAAAGTTGCTTCTCTGCTGTTTTTTTCAGGGAAGCCTCCAGGAAATGACCATTTAGAGGCATAGCTATAGCTAAGCTATTTTTCCTCTGTCAAGAGCCGTGCAGCTGATGGGAACTATCTATAGATGACTTCAGAGTCACAATACACGTCACATCTCCAATGTCCTTCAGCGCTCGTGGCTACAAGGCACGTATTGTCCAACACATCCCACAAACCATGATTCAGATTTTCAGGAAAGACATCAACATTTTTGCATCGTGATTAATTGTAATGCAATGCACTATCACACAGTTCTACAGGTTCTCGCTTGTAACCCATGCGGGCAGCTCATTAGTAAATTACAGGGTCTGGATCTGAGTGAGCGGGGTGGGAGACTCCTCCCTATGGGTGTGCTTTTGCTCACTCCAATTCAGCGAAATCCCATTTCCATTCCCTTAGCACGCTTGGTTGGATCCCTTAATACGCCGCCCACCCTCAGTTTCCCCCTAAAGGAGCCTCACTCCGAGTGCCACATCACTAACAGCCCTCTGATAACCAAACACACACAATATTAGGGATCTTGAACTTCATTCCATGCCTTCCCATATTTTCTCTTTTTTGTCTTTCCTTCATTCTGTTTCCTTCCTCCTTGAGAGTTTGAGCTTTAAAATAAAAAAAATATAAAAAATAGCGGTATAAAGTTGCGTCTTAGTTAAGCTAAGTCCAAAAAGCAGTGTTTGTGTTGATCGATTGGCTACATCATTCAATCAGTAATTGTAATGTAATAAAAGACATGTTTGAAGCATTTAAAATGTCTCAAGTCCAAAGCTAGTCTAGAAGTAAGTCTAATGATGGGTCTAAAGAGTTAGTCTTAGCTTAAATACGGTAAGCCATTGATTGACTACAGCATTAAGAAGCAGTCACATTAGCGAAATATTGCGAAAATGTGAAGCGGTATATAAGCACAGCTCGCTCAGAAGGCACTTTCAAACTAAGCTTATTTATGTTTAACTCGAAAATGTTGCAAAATCTGTTTGGGAAAATCTTCCACATTCACATTGTGTTATTGAAATCACAGAATTTTTTCTCGCAAAAATTCACTGAACAGCATTAAATGAAACCTCAGCTTTATTTAGCAAAATACAAGTTTGACGCAACCAAATCTCATGAGAAAACGCAAGTAGGCTATAAGTTTGTGATTTGCGAACGCTCGATCACGTTCAATGTAGGCATCTAAAATTTAGTCTAACGCTGTGTCAGAATTTGCCTACTTCCATACTATATAGTAAACGAAAAACAGAATTTGAAAATTCATTATTCAAAAAAATGAAAAGATTACATTTACACTACTACTTCCGCTGAAATTCTGAAGTGTGCATTAGATGGACACTTTACTATCCCAAGATGAGAGAGGATTTTGAATGGTAATGAAGTGACGCAACTGACACTGGTAACAACATGGCGTGTGTAGCGCGTCAGAATTTCATTCATGTTACCCATAGATATGTATAGCTAGATGCCCTATTAGCAGCTGTTTCTATAGGCCGCTATACATAAGCCGTCCGCCATATTGGAATGTCAAAGCCGATCCGTAAATACTCGAGAGCAATGCCGGTGCATCTGCACTGCAACTGTAGTTATACACATGTGTGAATATCTATATCTTCAGTAGACTCAGAAGATGCTTTTTGCTATGCATGCTACCCATATTTGTTATCGCTACTGTATAGAACATACTTTTATAATGATTACGAAGTAAGTTTCAAACCAAATATAGTAGGCCTACCTATAGACGGTAGTATGCAGTTTCGGACGCAGGTTAAGTCTAAAAAAGTCTGGTGGAATGATTCCATATCCACTCAAAGGCAGACAAACAGAATCATGTTTGAAGCATCAACGCTTCTTTGAAGCGAGCAGTCGTAATCGGATCAGCTCGTTGTCAGTGCGCATCACTACCGATGACAGATGGACGCGATTCAATAATGATGTCGGGACAGATGAAGATGCCGTACATCTGGCCATGTGCCTGCATCTAGTTGGAGTGTGGCTGATTAGATTTAGACATCATTGATTATGCAGTGATTTAGTTTAAATTCATAATCAACTGAAATAACATTGTGACGGGCTAGTGCCCTGAGATTAGCCCTAATTAAACAAATAGGACGGAAGTACTTTAGTTTTTCGTCCATATGCAACATCAGATTATTATGAAAAACCATGACTAAACTAAAGTTTACTGGGGAATGAGTCAGTTGTGTTTCTTTGTTCGCAAGCATCCTATATTCTCTGCAGGAAACCCTCCCACGTGCCTTGTACAAAACAACGACGTGTTCTCTTTGTATGTCAGACCTCCTCTGTGCAATGTAAATGCAGCGTTGATGGCTGTATAGATGATTTATGCTCCTTTCATACACAACATATGTGTTTTGTGAACGCTGACATTTTTGCTTCAAGTTGAAGCGTTGATGATTGGATACACAAGGAAATGAGACAATCGGTTGAGAAATGGGTGTTTGTGAGATTTAAAATAATGAGATTTCGGCTCATTTGGCTTTTTGATTTTGACTAGGCTGTTGAGAATAGCAGAAGACAATTTTTGTAATTTTTGTATGTGTAAATAATACATTAAATGCAATTCTTATATATGAGATTTTCATTAATATAAAACTATTATATAATCAAAATAATATAAATTCAATTACTATATAGTTTTTAATGTATAAATTAATTAATTATATATATAGAGAGAGAGAAAGAGAGAGAGAATTATTGACAATTAATGTATAAATTTATACTCTTTATACTGTATATAATATATAAAAAATATTTAATAAAATACAATTGCATTCATTTATTTTACATATATGTGACCCTGGACCACAAAACCAGTCTTAAGTCTCTGGGGTATATTTGTAGCAATAGCCAAAAATACATTGTATGGGTCAAAATTATAGATTTTTCTTTTATGCCCAAAATCATTAGGACATTAAGTAAAGATCATGTTCCAAAAGGTATTTTGTAAATTTCCTACTGTAAATATATCAAAACTTAATTTTTAATTAGTCATATGCATTGCTCACTTCATTTGCACAACTTTAAATGCGATTTTCTCAATATTTTGATTTTTTGCACCCTCAGATTCCAGATTTTCAAATAGTTGTATCTCGGCCAAATATTGTCCTATCATAATAAACCATACATCAATGGAAAGCTTATTTATTCAGCTTTGGAGTGTATAAATCTCAATTTCAAAAAATTTAACCTTTTGACTGGCTTTGTGGTCCAGGGTCACATATTATATATTTTTAAATTACATTTATATAATACTGTATTATAATCATTTCTAAAATTGTGTATAGCTTATATATATATATAATTTAAGAAAAATCAACTTTAAGCCTCTGGCATAGCAATATATGCTTCAGAGCACTGAGTCTGGGACATCCTAGATTAGCAGTGAGCTCAGATGACAGCATGAAATATTAATCAGTGTTGGTTATGTCCTCATGTGACACAGGTTTTTGAGATTATGCGAATTTAGAGACTAACCCATGGTTCAAATGGCGACGTTGACGTTGGTCAGCATCCCGTCCAGTTAGGCTATGTTTCCTCAACTATCTTCCAGCAGCACGGCTGTGATAAATGCACTGTGAGTCAGCCCGCTGCTGAGAGATGGGATGTTGTGTTTATACTCCTCCAGAAGTGTGGCGGAATATCGAGTGGAGCTGTGCAAGAGATACCGGTAGTTGTGACAGATATGTGTAAGAAATGAATCAATGGAAAGGGAAAGAGTGGGAAGAGATGGTGACAATAGCATGGGACCTCTTGAGAGTGTCTGTGAAGGAGTGTATTATATATATATATATATAT